ACACACACTCTCTCTTCATCTCAATAATTAATCCCAAAAAAAAAAGTTTGATTTGAACTATAGATGTGGTCAAAATGAGACCCCTCCAACAACGAATCTAGACCATTCATTTGGCGAATTTCAAGATCTTAGCCTTTACAAACTTAAAATCATTTCTTTCTTTTTTGCATTGTTCATCAATTGATAATAAAGCCATCTAAAAAAATTGGAAATGAAAAAATATTTTTAAGGCCTTGATCTAAGCATCTTATCAAAATGGATGACCTATGTTAATTGGGCTAAACAAATATTTTCAAAGTTACGTTTTCAATTTTTTTTTTGGGGTGATTGTTCATTAATGAAAAGAGTGTATATTTTAAAATTTGGATCAAACAAATTGCCCAAACACGGTTTTTGAAGGTTGTTGCATTATATTATTATACAACCGTTGCAAGAAATCACTGCCCTCAAAAGAGAGGTCCAACAGTTACTTGAATTAATTATTTTTCTACAAGAACTTCGCAGGTATGCTGTGCATTTAAGTGTTGAAGTTCCATTTCTTTTCACCCAGTTTGTAATTATGATTGGATTATGGTATCTTAAATAAAATGTTTCTGTTTTTCTTTTGTTACCATTAGGACTGTTTTTTAGAAATTTTGTCTGATTAATTACAATGCAATTATGGCAATTGATGTTTCAATAATTATTTACCAGATATACGCATGTCTCCATAGGCTTATGGGGAAGAAAAATCAAACTTATGTTGAAGGCTTATGTATCACTTTTTTGAGATCAACAAAAGATGACGGTGGTCACTTTACCGCATCAGATATTGAAACCATAGCTGAGTATCACAGCAAGCTATCTGTTGCTCTTGGTATACTGCATGAATGTTTTGAGCCAATTGTTGAACCCCGCACAAAGACGGATCTTGTCTCTGATGTTCTTTTTAATAAATGGTGAGAACTACTCTTCAATTCTCTCTTTCTCTTAATCCTATCTTTTGGATTAAAAAGAATGCGTTTTTTGTGCTTTTGAGAGGACTAGAAAGTTTGTGCAACAGTTTTGGACTTCTTTGATTGCTGTAATTTAAGAGCAAATGTTTCCCTAGGAAGTGTAGTGCTCCAATAATCACTAATGACTGAATTTAATTATCCATGGTGGACATTGAAAAATTTATAAAAATTGCAACATCAGGTTTTCCTTTAGTACCTAGCAGTTCTCATGGCATTGATCCAAAGTTACGGACAATTGTGATGAGCTGTGTGAAATGCTCGAATTTCAGTTGTGCCATTGGACCATAGGAAGTGAGTTATAAACTTTGAATTTTACTCAAGAGCAGCTGTCAATATTTGATGAATGAACCTTTGGCCTGGACCGGTAGCTCTTGCTAAATAATGAACTAATAGATAAAAGAATATTCCTTTTCTGGCCCGGTGTTACACAGATTGCAGTATCATGCTATCTTCAACTATCATTCTTTTCATTTTCCTTGTGTCAAGTTGGTCTTGACAATCATCAACAATCAGAACTTAGGGATATAGGCCCACCAGTACTGTTTTAAGTATCTTTGGATGAGCTAAATAATCATATGCATGTGTGTACAAGCGTTTTTACCTTTTGCTTCACTGCATGCGACGAAGATGGGAGTGCCGTCAGATTGGCCAGGAAGATTGTACCAATCTGAAAATGCAGACTGCGAACTACTGGCATGCGTGATAGAAGTATTATTGCGACTTGACGTTTTTCTGTATGTTAAAGCGACAAACTTCCTGTTCATGCTGGCCTTTGAAGGTATAGCATATGGTACTCCCATCATATTTTCTTTGTCTTCCTTGTCTCAAGTTGCTTAACTGTTTTACATGACTAAGAATACGATAAAGGAGGACAGAACTTGTTTTTGGAGACTTCCTCTTTGAAACAAAATTTGTTTCGGCATCAATGGGATCGATAGGAACCTCCACAGGATGAAATTAAAGAATTCGTGATTGTTCTCAAGCTTCTCAAAATTTCCCTAATTTTGCAGTCAGAAGCATGAAATGTAGAAAGCGTATAAACCTTTTCAATACTTATTGACATCTATTCCTTTTCTTTAAGAAATATTCTCAATATGATGGATTACATAATATGAATGCATCTGATTTCATACTTTGTTTTACATGTGATTGTTAGATGCTTGTCTTTCTATTCAAAGGTTCTTGTCAAGTTTTGGGTTGATATGTTACAGGTCTGAACTAAGCCGGCTGGACTTTCGGGGTTTTTATACTGTTGTTTTAGAGAGGGAGGATGAGATGATATCTGTTGCCACCATCCGGTAAATGAGTAGAGACTTGTGTAATTTCTTCATTTGTGTAAGAGAAAGCACAATATAAGGGAACGGACTATGGAAAACCAAATCCGATAGGGGTCATCACTTATCACTGTCCAATTAAGTGATGAAACAGTGGAGCCACTGGGGACCCATACCCAAAATTCTGATCATGTCCTTCTAGTGGGTCCCGTTGTCTCTCCATCAGCAGCTATCATTTTCATTGGATGGTGATGACCGCAATGTCCTACTCGTAGTCCATTGCAGTACAGTAAAATGTGTAGTAGGGACCTTTTTTTCATGTAATTTATCCAATTTGTGTCTCACCTTTGGGATCAATCATGTTCTTTCAGGGTACATGGAGTGAAGGTTGCAGAAATGCCTCTTGTTGCTACTCGTGTCCAGTATCGGCGCCAGGGAATGTGCCGCCTTCTTGTTAATGAAATTGAGAAGGTAGAGCTACATATGGAACTTCTGTACTCGCAATGTGGGCTATTATGCATTGTCAATAAGTTGGCTTCTGGTTTCTGGGTGACCAAAGACATGCTTTGGACTGTCTGCTTCCATGCCATTGGTGTTTTCACTAGAATGCATCTAGTATCATCATGAGCAAGATACTTCATATTGTTCATGGCAAGTATGATATGATCTGATGGACTTGTGGAAAACCATATGCTATTGGGTTCCAACCTTCTAATGAAATGAAGGCAGGATTTGGGCCCATCTTTGGAGTCATGTCCTTTTCTGATAGGTTCCAATGAGAAAAAGTTAATTATTTTAGTGGACCATGATGATTCCTTGGAGTATGAGAATTCCCATAGACCATCGGATTATGGTTTAGTACCCCTGTTGTTTGAGTCATAACACAGTGAACAAGACACAGGGCTTTGTCCATTTCTTTTGGTTTGATTGCTATACGGGTTTCTTTGTTTGCTCATATGTTTTCTAGATGCTTGCTTCAATGGGGGTCGACGCATTGATGTCTTTGTTTGCTCATATGTTTTCGTTTCTCTAGATGCTTGCTTCAATGGGGGTCGAAGCATTGATGTTGCCAGCTGTTCCTCGGCTAAGAGAAACATGGAAAACATCATTTGGGTTCTCAGAAATGTCCCATTCTGAGAGATTGAAACTTTTGGAGTTCACTTTTCTGGATTTTCAAGACACAACCATGTGCTGGAAGTCCCTGAGGAAACCTAGAGGTGCATTTCTTTCTGTTGTGTGTTCTGCACAATGAACTTCATGTTTATTTGTTTGTTTCGTCATTGTCTTTGTGTTTGTTATATACAATTTGCAGGAAGACCCAAACTAATCAAAGAGAGGTCCATAACAATATTCAACAACTCACAATTAGAAAGAGTCTCTGAAGCTTGGGAAAAACCCATTCCGAGTCTGCCTTGTTTTGATGCTCTCATATCTTCTTCTCAAAATCAAGAATCCATCTGCCAAAAGCTCCTCAAAAAACCAAGAGGTATGCTTGATGATATTTTAGTTTTCTCTTATATTTTAAATAATCTTCACTGAAAGGTGTTTTTGTTTCTATTTTTCGTGCATTACAGGAAGACCTAGAATTCTCAGAAGGGGAACTGGAATAATTAATAACTTGCTAGGACATGAATGTAATGGTGCTTCCATGCAGAATATTTATTCGAATGGTAGTATTGCATGTGCTTTACGTAATCAAGAGATTGGGAACTGGAAGCCCTTCAGAAAACCAAGAGGTAAATTGTGTGTGTGTGTATGCTCAGGTGTGTATGTGTGTGCACCCTATTCATAGCAAAGTTCACATTTAGGGCTTTTTTTTTTGGACTATTCTAATGTTTGTTATGCATACTCTGATAGCAGGAAGACCCCGAAAATTCAGAAGGGGTACAGTAAAAGTCAATAACAACTTCAATTTAGATGAGTTTGTCGTCTCAAAGGTGGGTGATCCTGAGATTCACTTACAAAGTTTAACTTGTGGAGATACTCGTGTATCTCCCTCCCATTGTCAAGCCATTTCAAGAGGAGACAATAATCAACAAATCAATGCATCACAAGATTCACAACTTTCATTGGTTGATCATATGGTTCAGGATATGGATTCAGTAACAGTCGATACACAAGTTGATGAAAGTATAATGGGTCGTATTCCAAGTTTAACTGACTCTGATGCTCACACATCTTCATGTTGTCAAACTATTTCAAGAAGAGATAATGGTCAGCAAATCAGAGAGATAGCAATCAACAAATTGATGCGTACTCATGCATCTACTTCACATGGTCAAGTTATTTCAGAAAGAGAGAGCAATCAACAAATTGATGCATTACCATCTTCATCAAGTGGTCATATTCCTCAGGAGTCAGAATCTGTTGTCGGGGTTGCCCAAATTGAGGAAAGGGAAAGAGATCACATTCTAATTTTAAGACAAAATGGTTATGATTTACCTGATTCACATTTTGAAACAATTTCAGGAGGAGAAAGCAATCAAGAAGTTGGTGCATCCCAATCTTTATTGAGCGATCACATGCTTCAGGATTCAGAGTCAGTTAAACACGGGTCAATTATTGAGGAAAGAGAGACATTGGCGAAAATACCAGAACAGTAAGCTATCTGTTCCCCTTTATATTCCTAATTGAGCATGCACCATCTCTCACCTTCTCGCTGTCTCTCTCTAATATAATATTGAAGTAAGGCGCGCCTCAAAAATCCTCTAGAAGAGTGTTCCTATGTTGGAAAACCGTCTAATTGATAATCTGGACTTTGAGATGTATGGAAATGAAGAAAAGAATGAATTTCAAGTCCTAAAAGTAGTATATCTTATAATAAGTTATTTAGGTTCTGTTTTCAAGATTCTCAACTGTTTATAAATCTGCTTGAGCATAAGTATAAATAAATTTTTTTTTCAACCCATCATAATGTTTCCTCTACCTAAACAATATATCTATAGGCAAAATTTAGAGGTGTGCCCTACTTATACAGTATAAGTAGGGTGCCTTATATATATAATACATATGAGCCCAAGTGAAATATGTTCTTTTATTAGTTTTATCTTTGTTGGGTGGCAGAGTTGTTGCAAGTCAGGATAAGGACTGCTGCACCTCAGTGACAGGTCCTCTGAATTATCAGGTACATGGGTCGATTCTAGTCATGATTGAGACTCCCAAATCATCATATGCTTTTGATTCTTTAACTAGGCGATCCATTTCTGACTGCAGATACAAAGTGACTGCAATACCGAGTTGAGGTTTTGGGGATTGCGTTACAAGCGTAAACCAAAGGCCCACATTACCCAGGATTGCATTCACGACCGTACTCAAATTGCATTGCCTTCTAAGAAGTGTTACACAAGGAGAAAAAAGGTTTATCAGTTAGCATCCCTTGTTGATGGAGGTTTGCATTAGCCATATTTTGTCTTCGCAGCCATTCTGCTCACGTGGTGTAAATTTTTTGTGAATAATATACTGACTCTTAGATTTCAGCCAGCAGCTTGGAAAGAAGGCTTTCACGTGTACTATATCAAAGAGGTGAGAAAGTTCCAATCTTTCTTTTTTTTTTGGGTATTGACAATTCGGCATCCAGTTAAATATCAATGTATTTTTTGACATATTGCATTGTAATTTCAAAAGTCCGACTATTTCTTTGCTTCTCTCCTGTGAATGTTTTGTTAATATGGATTAAAGTTGAGGCACTTCTTGTACATGGTGGCCTTGGGGCCTTTACACTAAGCCAAAGGCTCTACACTTTAACCACTAAACCAATAGACAAAACCCCTGTAATTTAACAAAAGATGTCGGTAAAATGAGCTCTACTCTGTGGGCAAACCTTCCGAAATCATAATCAAAAGCATTTGTTCGGATAAAGAAGTGGTGATTTTACCATTTGGGATATGGATATCATGGGGGTTTGAATACATGTTGGGGTCCGTGATACCTGTCTGGATCCTTTTTTGAAATAACCAGGTCCTCAACCATCTAACGTAACAATGCGGGTTTGAATACCTGTTGGGGAGTGGCTTTTTTTTTTTTCTTTAACTCAGAAAAATTTTGGTGGATTTTGAGCCAAAGAATGTTGTGAACATCAGATAATTGAGGGCCTTGTATATAATCGAATGTGAACATGTATTATAAAGGGTAAGATGCTTTATATGTACACCCCGTACTTTGGTTGTATACTGTGATTTCCATTCCCACTAATAGGGCCTTGTCATCCCCATTGAATTACTCAAAAAAAGAGAAAATACTCAAGGAGATGGGGGTATTTGAAAGTGTCTTTAAAAGATGCCAATTGAGGCCGAAAACAATAGTAATGAGGAAAACGGGATCCTATAGGAATGAATAGTTGGGTATCTTAATCTTCGGCATATCAAATTGTTCTAGGAAAAGTTATACAGGATTAAAGAAGTTGAGGTAATGAAACTACTTGGTTTGGTATTGGAGGTTTTTGAAAGCTCAAGGTGCTAGACATTGCATAAATTAAAAGCTCACATGCACCTTTGGATTCAATTTTGTCCTAAGCCTAGATGAGCCAATAAGATTCAGCCATTAATGACTAGTAGCAATTGTGATCATATGTACTTGTCTCATAGTGTACAATCCGTCGGAAAATTCTAAGAAGTGTCCATTGACTTCATTCAAACAGTGATCGGTTGGTGGGGATTTTAGGACCGAATACTGATGGTTAATCGGAAGTGTTTGGTCTTTCGACATGTACCTTGTTTAATGGTATAGTTTGTCAAGCATTTCCTAAAAAATAAAATAAAACCCCACCACCCATGGTGACTAAAGTAACTATACTCATTTTCTCTGAACCCCATTCTCTAGCCCTCGTCTACTATTTATCCCCAGTTGAAATTAAAAAAAGGGTGCAGTTTGTATAGAGCTCAAGCTGTAAACAATCAAATTAGAACCTACAAATAATGTCGAGAACATGATTTCAATATTGAAAATCTTTACGATAACCTTAAAAATATATTTTTATATTTACTTATAAAGTTTAAAGCTTCAAAATTAGTATAGATCAATAGATCTATGAAAACTTTGTAAATCTTTAAAATTGAGGGTCCTGAAATACATTATAAAATACACGATTTCCAAAACTAGAATTCTATTTTTTTTTTCATATCCATGCATCTTGATGTCGAGATGATTAATTTGAAACTACTTGAATATCAAAACAACCTCTTCCAATGAAATTTTTGGGGTAGGCTCAAATTTGATTGTTTAGAGCCTCAACGCTATATAAACTTTTCCCTTAAAAAATATAGCCTCTTGCACTTAATTCTTACTGCCATTTAGAATCAAATGTTCATGGATTTAACAGACGTTCTATGTGAAACGCGGAATGGACATTTTATTATTAATTGCAAACTCAACTTTAACTTGAAAATGAATAGAAGTTCAATAAGGGCAAAGTTTGATATGGGTAAAAATACATCCGTGAAAGTGCTCACATAAGAAAAAAAAACTCCCTCGTGTGGGAGATTTTTTAAACCAATTGGTCCTAACACATTTTTTCACAGCAATTAGCTTCGCGCGAAAAAATACTTCCACAGACGTGCTATCATGCATACCAAATGTGCCCTAAGAGATCTGAATTATTCCTACTTAAAAGCAATGCTGAATGAGATTGATGCAAATTAATGCAATATTATACAATCTTTATTTACTCGGCCCAAATAAGCGTATTGCAGATAAATTCAGGCGCAAGTTTTTCACCAAGAGGACTATAGGCAAAACGACTTACCTCTCTCTCTCTCTCTCTCTATATATATATATATATATATATATACTAAACAAAAAACATATATATATATATATATATATATATATATTACTAAACAAAAAAAAAATAAAAGGACTAATATGTATCGAGAATGCAATGATCAACTTCAACACAACGGGCGCCTCTATAGGCTCTTTGATTAAAGAACCTGACAAGGTTGGGGGGGCTTGCTTCTTCTGCCAAGAACAGAGTCTTTTCCATCTATGACCCAAACAATCAATGCTGGAGTTATGTGCGCAACCCAACCTTCTCCAAATCATATTGTACAAATTTACAGAAACCTGTGACTAAACTTCAATTGCTATCATTGAGAATCACCAGAGGTGATTAAAGCAAGTCCCTTTGCTTGATGGCAACGACTTTGCACTGAATGATGATTACCTATTTTTTCAGATGCTAGAGTAAAGTATCTCTCTATCGAGACATGAAATCCTCTTCTATAAACTAGTATTCTCCACTCTGTTAAACGCACTCCAGCATGTGAATGGTGATTATTTTGGATCCGTCACCTACAGAATGGCATAGAGTGATACACAGCGGAAAATTTGAAATGCGCATTCCCAGTTGAGAATTGCTTTGAATATACCTGAGAGAAAAACTGGTTTCAATGCTTGAAAGAATATGTAGCAGTGACGTACATAACAGGGGAATGAATCAAGTTATTGATTTCCCAGCCCATTCACGCTCGCGCCGCTTCATCTTTGCTTGCATCCTGTTGAATTTCTGTTTACCCTTCTCAAGAAGAGGATCTTCAACCACATACATGTCAGAGTCATCTTTCCGAGCCATTGCGTCCTGCTTAAGATAAATAGACATTCCCAAATGCATCACATTCACACCCATTCCTTATTAGAGCCTTGAGAAATTAATTATAATCCCATGAATAATTTTTGATGTTCTCAGACCATTGTGGGAAAAAGAAGCCAGATACCCAGAATGGGCAAGGGATCAAACACACAAAACATACACATATGCGTGCCCACAGGAGTGCACGCACAAACACACAAAGACCAAAAAGTTAAACTAGAAAACAGTCCAGCCTTGGTGCTCAGCCTCACTGTAGCCTAGCAGGACCGAACTTCTAAGTGCATCTTTTTGATGGATTGAGGACACAAAAGCACTTTAGAATACCTGCAAACCCATTTGTCACCAGAAAATGGATTTGGAACTTACAAAATAAGATCAAATCTGATCGATCTAGTGTCCACTGAAATGCATGGTTCAGATTAGGAGTTGAGATGACAATAAAAAAATAATATCTGACTTTAAATCATTTTTTTCCCAAAAAATATTCTTGGAAGATCCAGAGTATGGATATGCAGCATTTTGGGTTCTATCCGGAAAGAATGGATATATCCAGTGGAGTGTTTTGGGTCCCCCCAACTAGTGGACAAATGAGTCGCCGTTGTTAGTTGTAGTCCCAACGGGTACAACTGCAGTTGCATGAAAACATCTTCCAACAAAAAACCCCCCATAGTCTATTGATGCCGTTGTTTGTTGTATTCCCAAGGTACAAATGCAGCTGCATGAAAACATTTTCCAACGAAAAACCCCCCACAGTCTATTGATTTTCAATTTCTAATTGTGTCTCCTCTCACGTTCTCATGGTTTCAAGATCCTATTTTCCCAACTCATGCTGCAGGTTCAGATCCCATGTTTTAATCACTAGATGAAAGGAAAGAAAGCAAAAAATGATTGTCAGCCATGACCACAAACAATTCATCAAAGATAACAGGTGGCAAGAAATTTACCTTGTTAGAAGGGTCAGGCATGCATTTTAGCTTATGAGATCTCCAATCAGATAGATCTTCGTCCTCATTACCCTCATTCTCAGGTTTGTTTGTAGCAGTACCCAACTTTGCAGAAAAGAAGGAACTTCTGAACTTCTCCAGCTTTGCCAGTGTCTAAGCATAACAATCAATGATTAATTGATTTACAGATACAATGAAGGTAAAGCATTGTATATATCCCAATTTACTTTGGAAAACCTTAGCCCAATGAATGATGGACGGTCAAGAGTGGACACATCAGAACAGGAAGTTAAATGTACTTTTTCATTTTCCATGGGAAAGTTAACCATACTATAATGGACTATGACATTGATGCATGGTATTCCAAGGCCACGTCCGCCATTCATTCCCACCAACAGATGGTTGGAAATTAACTATACCCAGGGTTGCATTGCTGTGGACGCCACCATATTTAATCACCAACCAACAGTCAATGGGAATTGTCGTGGATGAGCCTTGGAGAACCATTTAGCATAGCCCAATTGACCATATATAGTATACTTTTTCCTTGTGCTTTTCGTACTTGTTCTCCATGGCCCTGAAGCCTGCGCTTTTTTTGCTTCTGCTTCTGCCTTTCCTGCTCAGCATGGCTCAGAAGCTGCAAATCAACATCTGCTTGAGCTTCGCGTTCCTTCCTGGCTTCTGATCCTATTCCTTTATGTTTCAAAGAGAGTTTACTCTTCCTATTTTGTTCCTTCAAATCATCATCACTATCATCCCTGGTTCAAGACACGGTAGAACTAGAATTTAAAGAAATTTACTTAAAAATTTCTTGCAGGCATCATTCAAAGTAGCTAAAGAAGGAGCAATAAGAGCATAGGTAGCTACAATAAGAAACCAAACAAAGCTGCACCTTCAAGAGGATCAAAATTTAAATACAGATAATCCACCAAAAAAACAAAGGCCAAAAGGAGTCTCATTATAAATGGATGGCATATACTAATGACCAGAAAAAGAAAAAGATCCAGGGCCTCCCTCCTGTGAGTCGTCAAATTTTAAGGACTGAGAAGGAATATGAATGTTATAGGAATGTTTATGATTCCAATGCATTGGGGAAGGAATATTACAAACAAGCAAATGTTACTCAAAAGGGCTGCCAGATTGGAAGACTGCTATTTATTCTCCAGCTAAAAATAAACTTCACTGAATACTCCAATGTTTCTCCCTCTGATATTATATTTAATAAATCTTGAATTCAATAATATACAATTCCATGTTTCTTTATCTAAATCATCCTTCTTTGTGAGGTTTACTCAGTAAGTTCTGCTGGAAAGCATAATCCATGTTATAAGTTGTAACATTAGCTCAGTGCTTTAAAAATTGGCTAATCAGGCTCGACTAACACGTGTCCGTCAGACTCAGCAGGGTTTTGGATTCATGAATAACATAAGTCTCAGGACAAGTTGAGCCATTTCACTGGATTTAATGTATTTTTTTATAAAGACCGGACCAAGTTGGCAGACTGATTTGGGCTTGGGTCCCAGACATGTCCGAGCCTGAGCCAGGACTTTCGATCACTGCATTAGCGAACCCCATTTCTTTCTTTGAGCAAAATGATCATTATTGAACTCACCAACTTGCTGTATTGATAGGAAATTGTACAACAAACCCCTAATAATTATCGGCATTTCTCTCCACTAAAATGACTCATTCACATGTATCAACTCCTTGTATTGTAATTTATGATTTTCGTTGCTTATGCCAGTCCAGGAAGAATAGTGGTGCACTGGTGACATAATTACATAGAAATCATATTATAGCAAATATGTTAGTTTATGTATCCATTGCCAAACAAATACTTGACCTGAGGGAAGCATAAAAGAAAGATCAACAGGAAGCAATTCATTGGAGGCGAGGAAAAATACTTCCCGAGCAGTTCAATGGTGCATTCCTTAAAACTTCAAACCGAGAAAGCAACACCTTGATCTTGCTTTTTTTTTTTATTATGCAGACCACTGGTATCTTCAACCTAAAAATTATTATATGCCAATTGCCAAGACAGAATGAATGATCCAACTATTTAGTTAACTTCTAACTGGATCTGGAAATGTTGTGCTATGAAAACCCAGACTCCACCGTCTTGACCCAAGCCCGATTCCAAACTTCTTTTTTTTTTTTGTCTTTTTTTTTTTAATAGTTAACTATGTAGCTAATTTATATAACATTTTCCTATCATATACTCCAGACATCAAGAAATATACAGAGGAAACTAAATATATGGCAAGATAACAGACTCCTAAAACACAAACTCACAGAGGAAACTAAACATATGGCAAGGTAAAAGACTGCTAAAACATAAAACCATCATCAAGTAAGTTCCTAAAAGTTAAAAATAGAAATATATGCAGTTCTTGTGTGTGTGTCAGCACACATGCGTGCATCTGTAAATAATGCAGAGTGCGTCTATGAATTCTTTGATATAGATAATCCTACCTTGGAGAAGCAATTTCTTTCTCTTTAGAATTTTTTTTGTCTGCAACAACAAAGTAACACACCTCAGTTCGTCATTTGAATTCATCAGGAAGATCTATCTCATGCAACCACCAAAAACTCATGTTAATTACCCACCATATCTACAACGTGTCAATCATTACTATTATGTTACTGCTCTGCATTTCGATTTTATGGGTTCAAAAACATAAGAAAGCACTTTGTCACTTGGAAAACATGGCAAACATGTGTTGGGATGCGGCTAAACCACTTTAGGAAATTGCAAAAGGCAGGCTGAAATTAAAATAGAAAATATTGAATTAAACATGCGAAGTAGCAGGTCAAGAGGAACATTCATCGCTGTCATGCTATCCAGCTAAGAGCGCATATCGCTGGGCTTATTCCTTTAATAACATGACAGAAGATAGCAACATTTCAAGTTTAAATGCCAAAAAAGGGTTAAAATGAAAAAAAAAATTGATTTAATAAAAGTAAAAATTGAAAAATGTACCCATAAAAAGTTACACCCTTGCAAAAAGAACGAAAAAGAATGATATAAAGAGGAAAAAAATCCCTTCCATGTATGTCTAAAATGGCCAAAAAAAAAAAAAGGAAGCTATCTAACAAATTATTCCCTACAGACTTTAGGCAACAGAATCAATAATTTGGAGTTGCGGAGTAAGCGTACAAGCACACAAGAGGGTTCAGACCCACAAGCAATAGCACAAGCATGCAAAGAATGCACACATATAATGTGCATGTGTATGTGTATGCTTGCATGCACATCGTAGCTTAATATTGAACCCATTTTCTTTAAGGAGCATAGATTGTCCAAGTAAATATCCCCCAAAAAAAAAAAAAACAGAGCATCACAATTTGGAAGTCAATTTACCTCTACTGAAATTTTCAAGACCTCTTACTTCCCCCATCTCTTTCCTTTTATTAAGAATTTGTAGACGCATTCGAGCATCAAAGCTGGCCTCATCATCATCACTCAGGTCAGGAAGAGCAGCTGATCTATTTTCTGCTGAGACACCTGTATCATCTCTCTTTGAGCTCAAAGCTTCCCTCACTGAAGCTTGAACGTCCTTTTTTCTCTTGGCTTCTGATGAGCTCTGCAACCACCAAAAGAGTCTGAAGTACTTAATCGGATATATTATTGTTAATCATAATCTATAACATATTTATAACTATTGAACAACAGATGTGTTGATATTTTACAACAAGCTATTCCTATGTGCATTTCATTAATATCTTGATTTGAAGGTTAGATGATGGGTTTCTTCATAGAGTCAGTTCAACTAAATATAAAGTTTAAATACTCATTTTAAGAGATTTCTATTCAAGAGATCCAAAAAACGAAAAAAAAAACAGAAAGAAATGACTTCTGCTCATACCATCGGACTTTTAGTACTGTTCATGCAGTACTTAAGGTTTACAATTGTATATGAAGTCACAATTTCCAACTTATCATTTCTAGTACATGATATAGATACACACATTCAATATAGAATTAGTGGAGCCCATATAATTGAGAATCTCTTGCAAATCCACCCAGATAGTTTCTTATGTTCTTTTTTATACTATCCATATGATTTCTCACTTATAAAGGAAATTTCATGATTTCAAGCATCAATATGCAACGAGAAAGAAAAAAGAAAAAACGAAAAAGGCAAAAACAAAAACAATCACAATCAAGACATAATTTTGCAACAACAACATTCTAGAAGTATAAAACACCAAAAGGGATCGAGGTTTAACTGAAGGGAGAAAACTAGGACACACAAGAATATGTGGTATGTCATCATCAAATCATTAGGCCATTACCTCTTCAATAGATTGTGGCTTTTCTTTGAGGAGACGAGGGTCATCAAGTACGTCATGACTACTCTTGATCTTTTCCTTCACAACTGCCGACTCTTTCTCCTCCTCTTCTGCTTCTGCTCCAAAAGACAGCAAGTTCAGCTTCCTGCATATTACAAATTCAAGTAAATGAACACCTACCTAAATCCTATTTCGACGACATAGTAAAACATATATAAATGATGCAGAATGATTGACACCATTGCATCTTAGATTCCTAAGGGTAAAGTGTTTTCACTCACTTTATGGCTTTCTTCTTTTGATCCTTGCTTTCAACATCATTTGGAATGGCCTTGTGTTGGGGTTGTCTAGGAATAATATCATCAAAGGGATTCCATAGTACCTATACCACATGAAACTTTAGTGTGCAACTCTTGATGTCAAGAAAAACAAACAGGCTAAATATCAAAATAATACAAAGCACATATATAGTAATATAGAACAACAGCCATTCACTTGCATGGCTAAATGTGCATTTGCATTACATAAAGGGGAGAAACTATCACACCCACGTTTTTTGCAATTCCGACCAAAAAACATGGATACCAACACCCTCCAGTTATGGTTTCCCAACCATGTTTCAGATAGGAAGAAAAAGCAAGGGTGAGTATAGCATTTTCCTAAATAAACTACTACACACGTCCTCACCTGAAATATTAGAAGAACATAAAGCCTCCCTTCAAGCGGACGATAAGCATAGGTATGATTTCATTATAATGTAAAAAATTACAGGTAAAACGAAACTACGTCATCCGTATCACTTCATGAGAGGATATTGATAATATGCACAAAGTTAATAAAGAAGGAATTAAAAGCTCCCCAAATCCCAAGCAACTTAAAGGATTTTAAAACTTAGAGAAAACACCTCACCCCCCCTCCCCGCCCAAAGGACAGATACTATACCCTATTTAAGTTCCAATATATTGGCCCAAAATATTCATTCACCATTATCATAGCCTTTTCCCACATAATTGGGGTCTGCTACATGAATCTTGGTCTGCCATTCTGCTCTATTAAAGGTCATACCCTCAGTGATGCTACAAGTCCTCATATCTTTTCAGACTACTAACCACATCCTTTTGGGCTTACCCTTTGCCCTTTCCAGTCTTTCTACTTGAACTAACTCACACCTCTTAACAGGTGCTGCACTTGGTCGGCGCCACACATGGCTAGCCCACCTAAGTCTACTCTCTCTCATTTTATCGCCTATTAGTGCCACACCTAAATTATCCCAAATGGATTCAGTTCGGATTCAATCCCTTCTAGTCTAGCCACGCATCCATCTCAACATCCTCATTTTCCCTACACTCATTCAATGGATATATTATTTTTTGTCAAAACAACATTCCGCCCCATAGAGAAACGACGGTCTCACAGTTGTCCTACAGAACTTGCCCTTCAACTTCATTGGTATGCGGCGATCACATAAAATTCCAATTGTACTCCACTTCATCCACCCAGCTCTAATTTTGTGTGTGGCATCTTCCTCAATCTCTTCATTTTCCTAAATTATGGACCCAAAATATTGTAAGTTCAAAATTCTAGATCATCATCATCATTTGAGCCTTATCCCAACTATTCGGGGTCGGCTACACGATCATGTTCCCTAGTTTTGCTCTATCAGGGGCCATATCTTAAACAAGATCAAAAGTCACCACATGTCTTCTAACTACTTCCATCTAAATCCTTTTGGGCCTTTCCTTTGCCCTTTGAGAGCCTTCCACTTGAACCAAATCGTCCTTCCTAACGGGTGTTGTTCTATGTCGATGCTACACATGGCTCATCCACCTGAGTCTACTTTCCCTCATTTTATCTCCTGTTGGAGCCATGCCTAAGTTCTTGCAAATGTATTCATTCCAAATTCTATTATTTCTTGTCTTACCACTCATCCATTACAACATCCTCATTTACGCTACACTCATTCTATGGATATGTTGTTCCTTGATCGCGCAACATTCCGTCTCATAAAGCATGGCTAGTCTAGACTTATAGACATCCTATGAAACAATAAAAAAGAGAAGCTCATGTGCATCAAAAACATCCATATGGCATAACAAATTCATGTAATGAACATTTACTCCTGATTATCAAATGCAAATCATGCAATGAAATCTAAACATTTCTTACCTCAATAGAGATGATCCTGGGAGGTGGATCTAATGGCCTATCATTCTCACCAGTCTCTACATCCTCTAACCTCAACAGATTATATATTGAGTCTCCAGTGACCTGGAAAATAGAGAAATGAGATTTTTATACAAATAATATATATTCAAAAACATGAATTCCATGTCATTCATCAAGAAACTTGCCATAAGAATGCAACTATAAAAATAAAAACCTTGCCGAAAATGGTGTTCTTGTTATTAAGCCAGTCGCAACGGTCCAAAGAAATGAAAAATTGGCTTCCGTTTGTGTGAGATGATCCAGCATTTGCACATGCAACCAAGCCCCTGTGGTTGAATCTTAGTCGGGAGTGAAACTCATCTGCAAACTTTCCCCCATAAATGCTTTCGCCACCTGCAAGCATGGAAACCTAAAGGTTCTTTCAAAGTTTTATACCCAGTATTTTAAGTGAATATAAGCATTTCATCACTGTCCAATAAAATGATGGACAGTGATGAAGAGAAAGTGGGACCCACCATTTAGGGATTGTCACTGGTGGATTTCCACACCCTCTCCATCACTGTCAATTATTGCATAGGATGGTGAGGATCCAGTGGACATTGGTTTGTCCAGAGTCCTTTGGATTGTAGTGTACTTTGACAATTTATAAACCTCATTCAAACAATCGCTTGGTCACACGACCATATCCACCGCATTCCAGACCAAGTTTATGGTCAACAGCGTAAAGGAAAGCCCTTTTCAAGAACAATAGCAATGCTATCACAGACAATAGCAAATAATTTCCTCAAAACAACAACTAGACAACTTTAAAAACAGTCAAATAACAATGGAAACCAACCATAATTAATACTGAACTAATAACACAGTCAATTCTACATGCCAAAAATTCTCCAACACAGCTCCTGGACCTAAGCAATGCTCTTTTCATTGTGATAACTGATAAGCATGCATGAAAATTTGCATCTTACTTAAACAAAGGTGTCATGGATTATGTGATAGGTTTACAAAGTCCAAGTCATTTCTATGTCATACACATAAAAGAACAAAAAACGAAAAGGTCACTCACCAGCTTCTTGTATTTGGTTTAAATATGGTTCAAACTAAATCTGAATGGTGAACAACACGTTTTGGTCCTTATTCAGTAATAATCTAAATTTTTTCTGATTCCCCAACTTTGATACACTTCTGTTTCAAAACACTGCACAGCACCCAACCATCCTTATTCACTAATAATCTAAACTTTTTCTGATTCCCCAACTTTGATACACTTCTGTTTCAAAACACTGCACAGCACCCAACCAATTCAATGTCACCAACTTCCTCAGCCAGTTGGCATATGCACTTCCGAGTTCCAAACTTCTACCAGTCACTCTTATGTATGCCTAAATCTAAAATTGAAAATTTATTAAATATCTTTAATTTTGTGGAATCATGGGAAAGTAGTTTTATTAGCCTTATATGTTGAGCAAAGCACTCTTAAACTTTTTGGCGCCGCAGAAAGAATCCCCTGAACAATAGGGAGTTGCAAAGCCATCATCAGCAAGTTAACATGTAGCCTATGCAAATCATCTTCATGCTTGCCTGGGGCAAAGCCTGCTGCCTCCACTAGCTCCATCACTGGAACCCTCTTCAGCTTGCAACAATAGACTCAACACACCGGCTTGCTTGCATGCATCTTCATAGCAGAGCAAGTAATGAGCATGCCACCACTGACTTTACTTGTTGCCAAGTTCAGTTTACTCGAAAAGCCTTCACAGAAAGTAAATCATATGGGAAGTAAAATTCCATAAATTTCGGCAAGCAATGATCATATATAAGCACATACCACCCTAATCCCATTAGGATATATTCACTATTATGAGATCAGAAACAATACACGCATAAAAATTGTCAGGTTTTGTGGCCTCCAAAGGCCCAGTGAGCATGTAAAAGCATATTTTTTAGTGGAATATGCACTTCAGTGGAAGTGTGCATGTTGAGTCTGTTGACTGACCATGGGTTGGGCGGTTTATGGCCGTGCTTATGTCCAAAACCCTTACTCATGGGCATGTGGCACCACCAAGAAGGATTTACAGTAGGTCATCCCATGTTGAGGCCGGAAAGATACTTAGGGATGATGTTTGTAGGCCAAGAGAAATGTGTAGTTTATTGTGTGCAATTATAAGCCTGTGAGAATAAGGGCCAAATCCTTAACAACCTTCTGCATAGCATGTACACATGACAACCGCATTACAGGGAAGCAACCGTATAAAGGAATATATGCACATGTATACATAGAGAGAGCCTCCTTTGCATTGAGGTGACAAGTGTTCGACATGCTCTTAAAGCAAGGGGACTGAAATCCTCATCCTAAGATCATGGTCTCACTATTTATTGTCCAACTTTGCCAAGCCAATCATAAACCCCTGCATTGACATTGTGGGTTATGGGTCCTTGTTAAATTAGATAAGAAAACAGTAGTGGATCGTGATTCTTGGGTCAAGTGGAGTGCCCTTATTGTTATTAATTTTGACCATTAGTACCAGTCCACTTCTAAAATATTTTATTTTGGTCTTATAAACATTTTGGCTAAAAAAGGGTAAGGGATAGGCCCAAAAGGACATGGTTGGAAGTAGTAAAAAAAGATATGGGGACTTATGACCTCACTAAGCATATATCCCTTTTTTTGAGACTGTTAACATCGTATTGATGGTACAAGAAGTACAAAGCAAGAAGTCGCCTAGAGAAGTGATCATAAAAGGTGAGAACTGAAAAAGAAAAAAGGAAACAAGGGGGGCGCGTCGCCCAAGATACAACAAGCAACAAAAGACACAAGAGTAGAAATACAAAGCGTTCCCCTCATGGGGAGAGATGACTGAAGAGAAAGTGAAAGCCAAAAACAAGGGCCACAACCTTGAATACAGTAGGCAATTAAAGGCAAAAAAGAAATGTGGAAGCGTGCCCCTCAGTAATCCAAGTGATGCGATCGAGTTGGAAAACGAGTAGAGGCAGTTCCCTGTTTTGCTAGGCCGTCAGCGACCTGGTTGGCCTCCCGCCATATATGAGTCCAAAAGATCGGCGTATCCCTGCAAAGATCGAAGATAGCATAAAAAATATGCCATAGCCTCCACAGTGGTTGAGCTTCTCTGTAGGTCCAAGATATGATGTTTTGCGAGTCTCCTTCCACCCGGAGAGGGAGACCCCAAGATCTATCAAAACCGTTGTAGACCTTCTAGGAGGGCCATGGCCTCCGCCTCAATGGAGTCAGCTACTCCTATGGAGATGGAGTAGGAGAGAAGAGTAGATCCATGATGGTCTCGAAACAGTCCCCCCATACCTGCCCGGCTAGGGTTTCCTACGGAAGAGCCGTCAAAGTTGAGTTTGACAGCACCAATCTTCGGTGGTCTACAGAGACCTGACCTTGTTGGCCTAACATGCCTGTGGTTGAGAATGTGGGTCCAATTTCACAGAAAATTGGATCTGAGTATTCCTTTGAAGAGTTTGTGATTAGAGGCCCAAAAAATGACTGAGCCTCTAATGGAGTCTATGCGTTTGGAGATAAGGGCTGACTCCCCCTGGAAGATGCGATTGTTACGTCTTTCCAAATGGTCCAGAACATGGCTCCCAGAGTTTCTTTCCAAAGAAGCGGCCCAGCTTTCGGCCAAGGGAGAGACGACGAAGAGGAGATGAGGCTAGGAACGTCCGCAGTGTAACCCAAGACCAACCAAAGAGGGATAGGTTGGATTGCCATAGGGTCGCAACTGTAGGGCAATGAAGGAAGAGTTGAACAATAGTTTCTTCAGCTTCCCTACAGAGGACACATCGATTGGGGATTGGTAGACCTCTCTTTTGTAGGAGGTCAACCGTGCCCTTTCCCACAGAGCGAGCCACATGAAGAACTGTATTCTGAGCGGGATGATGGTGGACCATGCCTTAGAGATCACTGAGGGGTAGGTGATGTGTCGAAGTTGAGAGAGGAGGAAGAACGATTGAGGGAAGCCATAAAAAACTTCCCCGACAAAGAGGCAGTCCAAACTATCCGGTCTTCACCCTCCTAAGCGCAGGGAAAAGAGCAATAAGGAGGGAAAGCCCTTAGAAGGCGGGCAAGTCAGAGTTGCGTAGAGAGCGACGAAAGTCTGGATTCCAAATCCTAGGTTCGCTATCAAGGGGAGCAAGGAATAGAATAGAGGCTGATGGGTCACGGACGAGGTAGAAGAGCGAAAGGAATCTAGTGGAGAGGGGAGAGGGATCAGCCAAGGGTCAAGCCAAAAGCGAACGCTTAACCTGTCCCTGGGGCCAAAGCGGATATGCTCTTTGAAGAGTGGGAGAGACTGAAGGATGGAGCGCCAGAAGCTGTGGCTCGATGGTATGATCGCGAAGGTATAGACCAAGGTGAAGAGGAGAGGCAATATTTGGAGCAATGTTTTAAAAAACGGTCTGCATGGCGCCTAGGCGGTTTAGACCAAAAATCCGCCCGCCCGACCCAGGCGACCCTACATGGGCGGATGCACTTGGGCGGCCACCCAAGGCGGATGCACTTGGGCGGCCACCCAAGGCGGATGCACTTAGGTGGCCGCCCAGGGCGGATGTACTTGGTCGGGTGCCCAGGGAAGATGTATCTGGGCCGGTGCCTGGACAGGCTAGGCGGGTGGGTAGGGCTGTATGGCATTTTTTGTTTTTTTAAAAACTAGGAGGCACCTGAGGTTCTGGGCGCCCACTTAAGCGCTGGGCGCTGGGCACCAGGCAGGCCGCGTAGGGGCCGCCTAGCGTGTTTGGCATCCTTGATTCGGAGAAGAGGATGTGGTGCCATAAGTGGTTCCCTTGTGTGGCCAAGAACAACAAGGTTAGCACGCTTAAGACTTCAAATTCCCAGTCCCTCGAGGGCTTTGGGGCAGCAAACTTTCTGCCAAGCGAGAAGGTGGAATTTTTTAGGGGACCCATCACCTGACCAGAGGAAGTTCCTCATTAGTTGTTCCAACTGGTTTCGAATTGAGGCTGGGATGTGAAACAGGTACATGAGGAAGACAGGTATTCCTGAGAGGACGGCTTTGATAAGTGTTAGTCTACCAGTAGGGGAGACGGATCTACCTTTCCAAGAGGCAAGATTTCTTTCTACTCTGTCAAGGACAGGGCCCCAATGGACTTTACAAGGCTTGTTAAAGCAGAGGGGCAGTCTCAGGTAGGCGGAGGGAAGGGCCTCCGTGCCACATCCCCAATCAGCCACAAAGCTTTATAGCACGGTAGGGTCAACAGCTGTACCCGTCATCTTTGATTTGCTAAAGTTGACTTGGAAACCCGTGGCAAAATGAAAACAGTGAATGAAGAGGAGTACGTTGTTGACTTGAGTAGAAGAGGCCTTATAGAAAAGCAAGGTGTCGTCAGTGTATTGAAGGTGGGTAATGGTATGGAGGACT